TTCCTAACAGCTTCATGACAGGGACAGCTGTTACCACTCTGCCAGGTCTTACGTGGTGGAGCTGGTCTCTTAAAGTGTCGATTCTCGTTTGTGATAAACGAGCCTTCATGGTGGTTGAATTTAACTCCACTCCCAGATAAACAATTGTCTGGGCCGGGAAAATCGAGCTTTTCTTCCAATTTATGGCGAAGCCCAGATTTGACAGGTGTGATGTCAACACCTGAGCCTGCATCACTGCTTCCTGTCTGGAGCGTGACAGCAGCAGACGGTCGTCCAGGTAAAACAAAACTCTCATCTCTGCTCTGTGTAATGGATGCAGGGCTGTCTCCACACACAGAGAACGTACGAGGCGCGAGGGAATACCCGACCGGCAGCCTGTTGTACTGATACTTCATCCCCTGAAAGGAGAAAAACACAGGAATTTTCTGTGTTTTGGGATGATCGGTATGCGTTTCTCTGGATGTTGTTCAACAGATGTCTGGTTGTCAACATGTGAAACGGTCTGTCCATGATCGCCTTGTTGAAAGCTGACAGATCCAAAATGGGTCTCATCCCTCCGGCCCGTTTGGGAACCAGGAAGTAACATGAGTAAAACCCTGTGTTTTCCTCTCCGTTGGGAACCCTGGAGATCACTTTTATCAGAAGCACTTGGACTTCTGCATTTAGGGATAAGATTTGGTCTGGTGATGACAGGACCGTCTCTATAACTCCTCCGAACGGAGGGGGTCGGGTTGAAAACTGTAACTTGTAACCATTTGCATAACACCTTGTTCATCCATCTGACCGGCGAGCATGTTTTAGCCACTCTACGTAACGTTCATGGAGTGAACGTGCGTTTAAGTGATGCGTCATGTTTTGTATGGCTGTCACCAGTCCGCCCCTCAACCGCCGTCATGCGTCGCGGGAATGTTTTCCGCGTGACCCAAGGCGAGGCTTCCTCAAAAAAAGGCTCTGAACGCGCCCGTGCGCTGCGTTTGGACCGCGGACCAACCTTCATGTACAGGTGGGCCGGTGTGTGCTGAGGCGAAGCGTGTGACAGCTGATGACGCCGTGGGGCTGTGCGTTTGACGTCGCTGTGCGAACGTTGAGAGGCGGAGAGCGTGACTTCATCTACGCCGTGCTGTTGGAGTGAAGGCTGCGAGCCCCGCGGGAGCACACGTTTTCTCTGGAGGGACGCGCGCCGCTCTCGCTGGAGGGACGCGCGCCACTCTCGCTGGAGGCGAGACTCGTCACCGGGTTTGTTCAGCTGTCTCACGCTTATGCTGCCGAGCGCTGAGACGCGGTGGGTGACGGCTGCCCGCGTTTGCTTCGGTGAGGCGTGTGTTGCTCTTGTGAGAGCGAGGACCTCCACCGGACCCGGCCTGCGGTCCCACATTTATACCGATGTGAGCCTGTGAGCGCCGGGCAGCTGTGTGTGCGCCATCATCAACGCAGCGCCGTTGGATTGAGGCTTTTGCATCGCACGAGTGCGCGTTTGACACCGCTTGGGTGAGGATCGTGCAGCTCGGGTTGACAACGAGTTATTTTCGCTTACCATTGTGTCGTGTGAGCGACTCGTCATGTCTTGGAGCGACGGTGAGTTTAAAAAAACTTTATTTAAGGACACCAGCTCGTTATGTGTGGAGGATGTGTGCGCAGCCGCTGTGAGTTCATCCGAGCTTACAGACTGGCTAAAAACAGACACTTTGATCATTGAATGATGATTTATTTCAACTTTCGTGTCACTTTTACACACACCCTCCACAGACCGTCATTTTTTAAAACTTCTCCCCCGTGAGCTCTGCGATTTGTTTGCCCAGAGCGCTGTCTGCAGGCGATCTTTGGGGAAACGCTGAACTGCAGGTTGCCGGGATGAAGAGGGCTGGTCTCTGACGGGCGGGGCTGGTGGTGGAGCTGAGCGAGAGACGCCGCCGCGGAACGTCTTTGTTCTGCCTCTGCTCACGACGGTCTCTCCAGCGGACCGGGGGGTGGGATGAGCTGCGCGGCTTGATGAGGTGGCGCACAGCCTCTGGCACCTCCTCCGACTGCTTTGAGTTCGCCAGCATGGCTTGAAGCTGCTCCCGAACAGCGCGTCCGCCGTGATGGGGCCCTCCATCAGGTCTATGTGCAGTTTCTCCGGCAGCGAGGGGGAGTGACGGAGCTAGGTGGATGTTGAATCATCGTCATCCATGCTGCAATCCTGGACAGGCAAACCGTAGCAGAGGCACACATATTGAGGATGGCGTCGACTACCTTAAAGAGGGAGCTCTTGGTCTCCTAAGGCAGGTCTGCGGCCTCCAGCCCCTTGGACATGCTATATGCTAGCAGCGCCACGTTGTTGTTAGCTGTGGCTGCCTGAAAAGCACATTGATGGGCTCGATTGGAGAGCGTGGTCACCGTCTGGTCGTGATTCCCAGGAGGGATGGGACGCTGCTCCAACCTGGACAGCTTCGCTCCGAAAGCTTCCGCGAGGCTTGGCTCAAGGGGGAGTTACCGAGGGATAGCCCCGCTCGGTGAACCCCTCCACTCTGGTGATGGGTGCGGACTGGAGACTGGCTCCCCCAATCTACCAGGAAAGAACCGTCTGTGGCCTCGCCCGTAGGATGTCCTGTTGGAACACGAGGCCATATGGATCAAGACGGTGAGCCGGAGTGGAACCCAGTAAACAACCTTCCCGCCGGATCATCCGAACTGGCGGGAAAAGCGTGGGACGTAGAAAAAAGGGGTCCTTCATGTCAGCCGCCTCCTGGGTTACGCCGGGCAACCCCTGAGGGCACCGTCGGCCGGGAGCGGTGTGATCGCCGATGCGAAACGAGGTGGGATGGGGTGAGCATTCACTCAGCCCCCCTCCACCGACACTACGCTCCCCAGGAGGGAATGAGCAGTGGGGGCTGCAGCTGAGCGCGCCTGTCCCGGAGGAACCATCCGATTCGCTCCGAGGGTCGGCGATAAGAGGAAAAATTACAAGATGGCGTTGTCCAGCGTGTAGTGACCTGTCACTGAGAAATACTCCTCGGCGCTTACCTTGAAATAAGACTGCTCGTCAGCTTCTCCTCGGGGAGGAGAACTCACCGGACGACCGGAGGTTGACTGCCGGGCCAAGCATCCTTAACAAAGGTTGGTCTTCTACACAATTTTCCTTCTTTGTTCTTCTGACAGTGCTATTAGCTTGCTGAAGAAAAAATGGGAGCCGATTTCCCGCTCTTAACGTAATTTATATGGACCGGGTAGGGCCCACACAGCAGGTGGGCGTGGACTAAATTTTTCAGTGCTAATGCTCCGCATAACGGGATAAACCCACTAAGCGACAGCCTTAAAGGGCGAAGCTTATACAAAATAGAACCAGGACATTCTGATGAGAAATGGATTACTGGAACAAGACATGCATGGACAAGTGCAGAGAAGTAACATTGTTGGAATACTACTATGCGAGCAAGCCTGGTGAGATGGACTATATGGGAAGGATGTGGGAATTATGGACACTTCGATACCCATAATCCAGATTGAACAGAATCAACTTTATGTTTTGTCCTCAGATAAATAATGTTATTAACTTACTTTTTATGTAAATGAATGTTTCTGTTTAGTGTCCTGAGATTGATGACTTCTATTGTGACTTGGTGTTACATAAATAAACTGAATTGAATTGGCAGGGGAACAACATAAGGGAAGATCCACCCAGAGCAGAGACAGCAATATTGGAGAAGCATAATGGAAGGAGGAGGCATCACACAATAATGATAATGATAGCAGCATGATGGCTCAGTGGTTAGCACTGCTGCCTCACAGCAAGAAGGTCCTGAGTTCAATTCCTGGATGGACCTGGGGTCTTTCTGTGTGGAGTTTGTATGTTCTTCTCGTGCTTGCGTGGGTTTTCTCTGGGTACTCTGGTTTCCTCACACAGACCAAAAACATGCATGTTAGTCTGCCTTCAGGCCCAGGCCTCCCTTGCAAAAGAGATCTGTGATCTCAATGGGATTTGTCTGGTTAAATAAAGGTTAATAATAAGAAGGATGTCCCATGGCTACAAGATCTAAGATCTCAACACAGCAATCTCCCAGAACAAGAACATCACAGTGGCAGACAACTAAGACACAGTCTTATAAATGAAAAGCCAGGCTGCACCTGGGTCTGACACGATCAGAGTCAGAGTTTCTTTATTTGTCATTCGCACCACATGTGGTACATGTGGTGGAACGAAATTGTGTACACAGGGCCCCAGTTACATCCAACAATAAAATGTAAAAGAAAAACAGTAATAAGATCTAAGATATGAACTAAGACAAATGTTAACTAAAAATACACTAAGCCCTAGTAGCATAAAAACGATACACCGAACAGCAGCACGAACATGATCCACACCTACTAGCTAAAGAAACTGACGTCTCTCCATGAACACCTAGCAGTTTAGATGAACCAGCTGCTAATGGAAGGGACACAGTGGTCACTGGAGGACTTGGTGCTGTGAACCCCAAAATGGAACAGTGGCTCTTCCCTGGGACAACCTCAGAGATCTCAAATCCCGACCCAGGACCGTTCTGGGTGGAGTTTACATGTTCTCTCTGTGCATGTGTGGGTTTTCTCCAGGTACTCCAGTTTCCTCCCACAGACCAAAAACATGCATGTTAGGCTGATTGGTAACTCTAAATTGTCACTAGGTGAGAGAGTTAATGGTTGTTTGTCTCATCTGTCTATGTATCCCTGTGATGGAATGGAGACCTGTCCAGGATGTCCCCTGCCTTTTGTACAATGATGGCCGGATATGAGCACCAGTGATCCCCGTGACCCGAAAAAGGAAGAAGCAGGTAAAGTACATTGATGAATAGATGAATAGAAGTTATTTCAGTGACTTTTGTGGGTTTTACTTTCTTCAACAAAAAGGTAAGAACAGATTTGTCCATGCTTGTAAGAGGACATCTCTGCAGCTCTTTTTGCACTGTGAAGACGTCTGTCCTGAGAACATACGTCTGTATTTTCAGGACATTAGTATTTGTGTCTCTGTCTGAGTGAGACAGCTGTACCTTTAGAAGATCTTTGGGAAAGTCTTTTCCATCGTTGAGTCCTTCCAGGTTGGAGATAAACTGACTGCAGGACATCCTCTTCCCCACATTCTGCATGAACAGAAACAGAGTTTACGTCATTTATCTCAGACGTAAAGCAGGTCTTCAGGTCTGCTCCTGAGTGGGATCCTGTTTACACTGCTCACTTCCATAAACTGGTTTATAAAGGCGTACATTTCACTCTGAGGACTGAATCTACATCTACACTTTCACTTTAAAAAAAAAAAAATCTGTATGACTTTTTATAACTGTCTATTGTTGTTGCTGTTGTCCATTGTTGTCATCTTTCTTTGTTGAAATCAGGTCTCTTGTAAATGAGTCTTGGAGGCTCAATGGGATTAACCTGTCTAAATAAAGGTTGAATGAATGAAAATATAACGAAGTATGTCAGTTCAAATACAACATTACAATACAAACCACATATTTACTGATGCTTATCTAAAATATTAGTAATTAATTAATTAGATTAATCTTCAGCCAACCCAATCATTTGAGGAAACTATAGTTTTAAGCGATATGAAAACTAGAAAGCATATTTTTTTCTAATGATAGGGGTGATTGGTTTACATGGTGGTGGCCATCATGGTTTTTTATCGTGGCAAGTTTTGGTGGTGGCCTTTTTTTACATGTACAGCCACACTCCAAAACAGTAGACACATTGCTTATTTTCCACGCTATACTTTTTTTGTCACACAATTAAATTTTCTAACTTTTGTATCTTTTCATAACAAAAACTTAGAAAATTTTCAAGTATTTCAACAATAATTGTAACTTTAGTTTTTTCCCCCTAGACATTTATATAGAATATTTGTAAAACTTTTTTTAAACTCATTATTAAAATAACGATTTCTTTTGTCATATTTTTGTATCTTACCTTTGATAACAAATGATTGTAATATATTTTTAAAAGCATTTCTTTATTTCTTTAGTCTTTACAAACGGACATTCAAGTTGTATAATTAACGTTCCAACAAAATTTAAAACAAATATTTAACTTGTTGAGACAAAAAGAGAATAAACACTGTAAAGGCAAGTTAAAGAGTAGAAAATAGCTAAAATACTTTGATTTGTGAGGAGGAAGAAACTCAACATATTAAAAGAACAAACCCATCGGCTTTGATTGTTAGACGTGAATGTTGGTCCGGTCTCACAAAGTGACTGATATATTTTCAGCCTCACATCCAACAAGTGGTAAAACAGAAGCTCAAACTCAGTTTCTTCTGTGGAATCAGACATTGTTGTGTTTTTGGCGCGTTTCTGTCACCTCCGTGTCTTTAGTACAGACATTTATTTTAAGGCCTTTTCACAGTGTTAATGTTGATCCAGTCTAAAGTAGTGTCAATACAGACCTTGAACCTCCGTCCTGCTGGGTTCTAATCTGTCCTTTCACAGATGAAACCACCCATGTTTCCTCGTTTATTAACCATTTTGGGTTTTCTCCACCTCAACAATCCAACAGTCCAACAGCCCAGGGTTTGTTGTGTTTGTTGACTCGGTTCTTTGAACTGAGAGCTCGAACTCAGAAAACTAATACATAAAAATAAAGTTAAAACATTCTGTGCCTCACTTTATAACAGACTCCAGAACCAGCTGAATCTGAAGGAGCTCATCTCTGCTAATAAGAGAGCAAAAGAAAAAAATTGGGCAAACATGCACTCTCTCCACTTCCTTCTGGTAATTTAAGCTTCTAAAAAAGTTAAACCTGGTCCTCTGGACATTCAAAAAACAAAACAAAGCAAAAGCCCCCCCAAAAAAATGTAGATACTGTAAGGATGTTAGTTTTCTGTGGCCCGGTGTGTCTGTTTCCCTCGTGCTCCTCGTTAGTTTCCATTGTTGCCACCTGTGTCTCGTCCCAGCTGTTTGTCATCATGTCTCGTCTTCTCCTTGTATTTAAGTCTCCCTATTCTGTCTTGTCCTTTGTCGGGTCGTCTTCGTTGGGTGTGCTTCCTTGAGTCTCCTGAGTCTCTCTGTTTTCCTGGTTCCTCGAGTTCCTCGTGTCTCCCGAGTTCCCCGTGCCTCCCTCCTTGTTTATGTAAGTTTTGCTGCCCCGTCAGCATATTTATTTTGTACTTTTCATTTATCATTAAAAACCTATTTTTGTATTTCTGCCGAGTTGAGTCCCTGTTCTGCACTCTGGGTTCGCTCCGACCACAAATCCTAACAGTACGACCCGACCAGAACAGAACCCAGCGGGCAGGGTTCTCACTCGGCAAACTCACCCATTTTTGTTTTTTCCCTTCCTCGTGCTGTGATGGACGAGCTCCTCTCCGTCCATCCACCGTCCCGCCGCCGTCGCCGCGGTGGACGGTTCCGGAGGCAGTCTGCGGCGCCCGGCCCGGTCGCTGCCGAGCAGAACTTCAGAGCTGGTTCCGGTGTTTTCGTGGGAGCGGGGTTCGCCGCCTCACCTCCCAGGTTTCCGGTGGGGGCGAGATCCAGCGTCCCGCGGGAGCTCCGGTCCACTCCTGCTCGGTTCGGTAAGTCCGGTCCGGTTGACGTTACAGGGGCGGGTTCTGTCGCCTCACCTTCCAGGTTCCTGGTGGGGGCGGAATCCGGCCTCTCACCGTCACTCCGCGCCGCAGCTGTTCGACCCAGCCTGGCCGTACCTCCGGAGAGTTTTCTTTGTGACTCCGTGGGGGCGTGTCCCGCCGCCTCACCTCCCAGGTTTCCGGTGGGGGCGGCACCCGTCACCACACCCACTCACACTGAACTTCCTTTTTTTTCCCCTGAGGATATTTCAAATATAAATCAGACTATTCTCAGTCTGTTTAGCTCTGCAAAGAGAAACCCATCCTCCTTTGATTTAGTTTTGACCCAGATGGAGGATTTTTTGTTTTCTATCCCAGGCCTTTATTTACTCCCTGAATATGATTTTTTGCTTACACAAATAGAGACTCTAAAGACTCCTTTTTCAGCCATTCCTGAGGGGGTCCCGGCTGACGCTCCTCATCTCTCCTACTCCGAGGGGGTCCCGGCTGACGCTCCTCACCTCTCCTACTCCGAGGGGGTCCCGGCTGACGCTCCTCATCTCTCCTACTCCGAGGGGGTCCCGGCTGA